TATTTTTTATTTGTGCTTTTGACACCGTGACTGAAGCGCATCAGAGCATCCTCTGTTGATCTTTCAGGCTTAAAACCATATTGCCTTTCGTTGTCTAATGCAGCCTCTTTATAATTTGTCAAGATTTGATCAAGGATAATCCTCTCGTAGATTTTACTTAACGTAGTAGTCATGGCGATTGGTTTATACAAGTTCATCATTTTTCTATCTTTATTTTCGTTTTTTAGTATCAATTTTATTGCAGTAACCTTCCACATATCTGGGAAAATCGCTCCTCTGAAACAATTACTTATTGAATTGACTAGTACGTCCTCACTGCAACGCCACAGATTCTTGATGATCTTGGTATTAAATCCGTCATGTCCAGGGGCTTTTCCTTCTTTTAATCTTTTAATCGCATGTACGATTTCGTCTCTAGTTATCATGTTTTCCAAATTGCTATTTCTTTACGTCCTTACTTCATGTAAAATATGTAGGTGTCTTACTGTGTTCAATTCTGGGTTATCTTCTGGCATGCTTTTGTCCAGAAGAAGGTTAATTGTTTCACCCCAAGTTTTCGTGTATGCCCCATCCTGCTTCACAAGTGAACAGATCACATTTTCTTTTTTGTTTTTATTCCTCGCAATTTTATACACGATACTCCACGGTTCTTTATTTTCTTCTGTTGTCACGAACTCTTTCCACGCTTTCTTTTTCCTTATTTTTATTGCACTAGTGTATTTGTTCTTTGCTTCCTTGTATTTTCCAATGAAATTTTCTAGATCTGGTAGATTCAGCCTTTTAGCTCTGGAAAGCTTTTACTTGGACCTGTTCGCTATTTTTCTTAGCTGCGACAACTCTTGACTCCACCATGGCACTCGTCCCGGCTTGACGTGTTTCGCCTTGGCATGGTTTGTCTACATACATCGTTTAATATAACATTCATGAGTCTAGCTACTTTATTTGGGTGTAGGCTTCCTAGCTTCTCCAGCTGACTTTCATTAAATTTTTCTTTAATCATTATCTCGAAGAGGTTTCAGTTAGCTTTTTTGGTATTAAATTCTTTTGTCCTGTGTATTCCTGTCTTTTTAGCATTCATACTTATTGTAAAAATAACTAAGTTATGATCACTTGTAGTACACTCATTATTGACTTTCCATTTACTAATTTTATTAAGCATACTTCCGCTTGCCAATGTTATATCAATATTTGATTCACTTCTGGCCGTAAAGAAGGTGGCCGGGTACCCAGGTTTGTTCATAACGTATAATTTGTTTGCAATTATAAACTCTTCGACCTTTCGGCCACGTTCGTCGCTTTCTTTCGAGTACCAGTTTTTGGATGTAGCATTTGCGTCCATAGTTATTATGATGTTTGCGTGTTTTATGTGCTGTAATATTGTCTCAATTCTTTGCAGAATGGGTTCTATTTGTAACGAAAATTGGCAATACACATTGATTATATAAAATTCTATACCTTCAGACATCACTTGGAAGTACATTATATGTTCAGTTTCCTCAAAGGTGTTTTGGAAAATTTCAATGTTTCTACTTCTAACCACCGAAGCAACCCAAGGTTCCTTTGTGACTGGTTGCAGAATCTTTAGACCAGGGCATCGATTCTGTAATTTATGTGAGAGCACTCACTTTTCGCATTTCCATCTCATGTGAATTTGTTCGTGTGATTCTATAACTTCATAGTGATAATACGAAATCACTAGATTTCGCGTTTTCACTTTAACGTTATGGAATCACGCGAGTGTAAGAAAAAATCTTTTTTCCTATATGTGTAAACTGATTTTGTGGATATTTTTTGTGATTTTTTTATTAAAATGAATGTAACAGAAAAGCAAAAACAGATACTGATTAACTTTATGAGATCTCATCCTGACTTTAGGAGAGGCAGATTGCGATATAATCGCGAAAATAAAAAAAAATAGTAAGTAATTTTATAGGTTATATTGTGTTACTAAATAAAATTTCTATTTTTTACAAATATTAAATAATAAAAATAATAAATTGTAAATAAAATTTACGAACTAATATAATATATATACTTTTTTACAGGATGCATTTTGGGAAGAGGTTACAACAGCTTTGAATTCTGCTGGAGTCGGTCCTCAAAAGTTACCCAAAGAATGGGCAAAGGTAAATATATACAAGATATAATTTTAATAAATAGTTCATCCTTTGGAGATATGAGACAATCCGCTGGTTTCAAATATTATGTTAATGAGATATCAAAAATACTAATACATTGTTTTTAGAAGAGAGGGAGGGAAGAGTTTAATTCAAGGTTTTTAATTTTGTGTGATTTAGTATTATTCATAATACTATAGATCTTATTTTACATAATAATATGTTTTACATAATTACATATTAATAATTTTTTTTATTACAGACATGGCGTGATTGGAAGTCTAATCTTCTGAAAAGAGTGGCAACATATAAAAATTATTCAGCTGGTACTGGGGGAGGACCACCAAAAGCCTTGGATACAAGCCCATCCGAAGATGATTTATTAGAATTTTTGACACCTGAAGCCAGTGGAATGTCTGACATCCCTGAAGGAGGAGCTCTTTGTAAAACATCTTTACAGAATTCTTTAGAAAAAAAATTCTTCTTTAAGGTTGCCAAATTTTACTTCTCAATCGCACTTGACTGCTAAAAAAGCTTTGTGTACCCAGAGACTGCAGGAAACAACTTCTTCATCATTGCAGAATAATGTTAATAAGGTAATTAATATTGTTTTATTAAAGTTTGAAAATTATAACTTTTTAGTAAATTATTTTAAAGGAAGGAAGGCCCAGACAGTACAACTGTACAGAAAAAGGATTTATTTGTATATCATCAATTCTGAGTATTCTTTAAATATTTATGGAATTTATTTTATAAAATAAATTTCATATGTATTTAAAAAATAACTTAAAATTGATTACATACAAATGAATTCTATTCTAAATTTTTTTTGAATTATTTTTGAACAGTAGTGCTATCTGGGGTTTGCATCCAAATTTTTAATTTTTTAATGTAGTATTATATATATAATAATTATAATTCTTATTTTATTTTTACAACAATATGGCATTAATAATTATTTTTTACTTTCTTACACAGACATGGTATGATTGGAAGTCCAATTTTGCAAAAAGAGTAGAAACATCTAAAAATTTTGCAGCTAATATTGAAGAAAGGTCAACAATATTGAGTACAAACCCATCCAAAGATGATTTGTTTTTAACATCTGAAGCCAGTGGAATATCTAACATTTCTGAAGGAGGAACTATTTGCGAAACATCTGTACAGAATTCTTTGAAAGAAAACTCTTCTCTAAAGTTACCAAATTTTGCTTCTCAATCGCACTTGACCGTTAAAAAAACTCTGTGTACCGAGAGATTGGAGGATGCAACTTCCTCATCTTTGCAGAGTGATGTTAATGAAGTAATAAATATTGTTTTACTACAGAGTTTAAAAATTATAACATTAATTTTGTCACTTTAAATATAAATTTTATAATTTAGATTATCCAACAAAACTTTAACAGCGATGTAAACTTTGATACAGAGGATTTTCCAATAAATGTGAGTAATAATGTTTTTTTTTACATAATATATTTATTTATTCCAATATGTATTATTTCCTGCAAATGTGTAGAATACACAGGATAGGACTGAATGAAAGCCAGAAGAATTTGGATCCATCCTGTATATAATATTCCTGTATATATAAGTATATATATATTGTATAAGTATATATACAGGAATATTATATACAGGATGGATCCAAATGCTTCTGGCTTTCATTCAGTCCTATCCTGTGTATATAAGTATATAAAATATAAGTATACAAGTATATAAAAGACATTCCTGTGTATATATAAAAATTTTATTTTAGATATCCTCCAATGTACTTACATCTATAGAAAATATACAGACTCCAAAAGAGGTATATTGCGTCAACTCTAGTCAACTCCAATCAACTTCAGCATCAACAAAACCAATCTCGCATAAAAAAAGATCTTTTAGATAACACAGGTAACTAATTATTAAAAACGACTGATGACAACTCTATCTTATTTAATTTTATTTTATTCAGTCTTTTGACATCGACATTTTATTACTGAAGGAAATTAATATTAATTATAATATTTTTTAAAACTAGTTTCTTCAGATAACAAGAAAAAAAGCAAAACGCAAAAAATTTACTGGAACAGCACACCTCGGACTACTGTAATTATCAAGAGCGAACGTTGCAGTTAAAAGAAGAAAAATTGACTGTAATGAAAGAAGAGTTTCAATTTAAAAAAGAAATTTATGAAAAACATTATAAGTTGTTTTTATCGTTGTTTGACAAGATGGATGAATTAACACTTATTGGATCCTTCGCACCGCAATATTTAGAATAATTAAAAAGTCTACTTTTTTAATATATATGGAATGCGTTATGCATTAACAGATCAATTGTCCATTTGTTATTTTTTTTTATAAGCTATTTTAAAAATTGGCATTGAAAACTGACACATGGTCCGTTTAAGCATAACTCAGTCCATATAATATGTGCAATGAAAAATATAAATGATATATATTTATACATATATAATATATATTTACATATGCAATATAATATATAACATGTGATTGCTGAAAAGAAAAGACTGTTATGATAAAAATAAAGGGTATCTTTTATATAAATGTAAACATATATTTCTATAAAATAGTTACAATTTTTTCACGAACCACACAATGATATTTTAAAATTGTAAAAAAATAGTACTGCTAAACAATTGTAAGAATAGTAACATTTTGATGTCTATACTATCCATACTATGCCATTCGGTGACACCGATTATGTTTTCACCAAGAGTTCGAATTAAATCAGAGTTGAGTTAGAGTATCGTTCTATCTTTTTTTCATTTTTAGTGAACAACAAAGATAGAATGATACTCTGACCTGATTCTGACTCGATTTGAACTCTCAACAGTTACCAACGTGATGCTACTGGATGGCATAGGCATGTTAAGAATTAATTGGTAAAATACCACTGGATTACTCTATTTCGAGTTTGTTCTCCACACTCATCATCAATACCGTCATTTGCTATTGGTGCTGCAATATCGATTTCATCCAGATGTATTTCATCATCAGGAATCCTCCATTTGATTGCCATGTTATGCAAAACACAACAAGCATTAACAATAACAGCTGTATAACAGAAAATATTTAATTAATATTAAAAAATATAAATAGCAACTTTAAATCTACATAAAAAATAATGTAAAAGCAAAATAAACTTAGTCAAGAATAACTATAGAATAATGAAAAAAATTAAAAAAGTGAGATTATATGTACCAGCAAATTGTGGGGTATAATGTAATGCGCGTTCCTTTCGCAAACAACGCCAGCGACCTTTTAAAACACCAAAACATCGCTCTATAGCTATGCGAGTCTGCACATGATGATTGGTATATTTGGCACCTGGACTTCCTTCTACTTGATTCAATTTTGGTGTCAGCAAGAAGGGTAGAAGGGGATATGCTGAATCACCTAAAACGTACAATATCAATTTTTAACCAATTATCAATTTTTTTGTTTGATAAATGTAAAATTTAAAAAAAAATTATAAATATTGTTAGAAAAGATAAGAAAGCATAAAAATGATTGTTTCTGTGTATTAATATTACTATTAGACAATATAATTTCTTACCAAGAAGCCAAGTATCTCTTTCATCTTCTCTATATCTTTGTTCCAAATGAGCAAATACTCTCGTTGATCGTAACACACGAGCATCATGTGTTCGACCACCATGAGCACTATTTACGGCGAGAATTTCGTAATTAGAATCACAAATCTAAAATCACATCTGTTATTTAAGTTAGGTTGCATCAATATTATTTCGGATTTAAACAATATATATGTTACTATTAATCCGATTGCACCAACGTTATTTTAGTTTTAAGCGAGATTTAAATATGTCTTTATTTATTTGGAAAAAAAGATAAAAGTAGTCATATATCTTCCTTTACAAATAAATAGACATATTTAAAATCTCGCTTTAAAAACTAAAATAACGTTGGTGCAATTGGATTAATAGTAATTTATTATGGTTGCTTTCCAGCAAGGCAGAGGCTGCTTTCCTCTCTTTTAGTGACACAAATTGACACAAGTATCATTTTTTTTCAACATCCAAGAATAACAAGAATAGAATGATGTTTGTGTCGACTTGTGTCACTAAAAAAGCACAGTGCAACATAAAACTGTGCTCCAAAATTGACTGCTAATACTGAAGATCTATAATATACGTAACGTGAACTTATAGATTTTTAGTACTGGCAGTGAATTTCGGAACGCAACCATAGTATCCATTATTGTGAGAAAAAAATATCAGTATTTTCAACTCACTAGTGGACACTATATTATATCGTATCTAAATGAAAAGCAGCCTATAATTATATTTTTTATATATGTATATTTTTTATATATGTTTCAGCATAAAATATTTTATACTTACAACTAATACATTTAAGGAATGATACAACTTTCTATTTATAAATAAATATTCCCTTTCAGCTTCAGGAGGAAATATGGCCACATGTGTGCCATCTAGGGCCCCAATTACTCCTGGAAAACCACCATTTGTAAAAAATCTGAAAAACAATTTATTATATTATCATTAAAGTCTTAAATTAAAAAAAAAATTTATTGTAATAGTTGTTGTAAAAGTTAACATTTTTTTTATCCTTAAAAATCTATTTCAATAAAAACTTATTTTGAATGTTATATTATATAAAATAAATTGTAAAATTATAATATAAACCTGAATAGAAATTAATACTTATTCGATCTTTATTCTATTATATATGCACCATAAAATTACTAATTAATAATTAATATTATTACCCTTCTTTGATTCTTTGAATCTTATCAGCTGTTCTTGGGAAACAGATCCATCACACAATTTAATGCATTCACAGTTGAATGAAGAGAACGACTTAACGATGTTTGCGACATGCAGGACAAAAAATCTTGGCCAACTTTTCTTTGGTAAGATCCACTCGCAAAAAACTGTAATGATGCTAATATCTAAAATAACATTGAATTAAAAAGATTACAGAAATTATTAAAAATGTAATGATGTTACATAAATGGAAAATTCAAAATATACAATACCTGCAATTCATGAGGTATTGCATTTTGTCGTACTCTCTGAGGCATAAATGGCAATAATTCTTCTATTAGGACACGAGTTGCATCCTTCGTCAGTCTAAAACATATAAAAAGCATATAATTACGTGCTGTAATATAAAATCTTTGCCACTATTAAGGACTTTAAATATAAAAATTTACCTGTATAGCTTACGAAATTCATGATTAGAGATCGAAAAAGGATCGAAAGCATCTCTGAGTAATTTTCGTGTGACTCTCATAATATTATTACGGTTATTGCGTTCATCATCCTCTTCATCGTCAAGCAATAAAACAGCAGTCATGTATACAGCCATTTCACTAACTTTTGGTCATTTCAATAAAGACAATGATATAATAAAATTAATAAAATAATTCTAAATGTAATAAAGTGATAATTATACTTAAAATATACTTACAAAAGGATATTTAACCTTAAAATTGTCACGACGCTGTTATTGTTTTGTTGCATTCTCAGTATTTTTCACTCCAATTTCACTATTCGACAAGAAATTTTTTGTCGAACAAACTCCCGCGAGATGACTCACATTCCCACTATGATGAAAGTTCCTGAATCGCGCGATCCTGAATCACTCACTTTTCACATTTTCACTAGATTTTAAATACAGAATCGACCCCCAGGTGCTTTGTAACCTTTTATAGAGCCTTTGACGCTGTAAGGCTCTTGAATACACAGAATATCCAGGTTCTGTTCTTTTAAAATAATTTCCAGATTTGCCGCTGCCGAAATCGATCTTTGTGCGTTAATCTGTCCAATTTTTAGCTCCATTATATTTTTTTCCTGTATATCTCCAAGTGCTTTTTATATTCCGGACAATCCCTGTATTTGACGCTGTGCAGAATTTCTCTCCGCTTGTTCCTCATGCAGTTTACACACTGTGGATTGTCTTTTCTTGTGCATTCTGCTTTTGCATGTTCTTTTGCACCACAGTTTTCACACAGCTGGCCAGATTCATTGCAGAATTTCGCGAAATGTCCATATCCGTAGCACCTGAAGCATCTTATAATGTTTAGATGCTCCTTGACTCTATATGTACGCCATTGCATATATATTCTTCCTCTATCAATCAACTTTTGATAAAATTTTCCAGGGATTTTTACAATCCAGTTTTTCCTGTTTTCCTTGGTTCTATAGCTATAGGTAAACTTAGTTTCGTTATACAATTCTTGCAAGTCATTTTTGTCGTACTCTTGAAAATTTTTCTTTATGAGATCTTCCTTTAGTTCTTCCATGCCAAGTTTGTTTTCCACATCATAAATTATCATGGATGGGTCAATTTTCTTGAGTTCCTCGACTTTTATCGCTTTACTAGCTAAATCAGCTCTTTTGACCATTTCCTTGTCATCTTTTCCATCCACTTCCATTATTAGCCCTTTGTTTCTCATTTGCCTTATGCTCTTTATCTTTATTTTACTTTTTACATCCTTTAGTTCCTTTAGGAAATCCGTTTTTAATTCTTCATTCGTTCGCTTGTCCTTCTCTTCATCTTTAGGTCTTATCAGTATTACTTCATGCTTTTGAACTAATTTCCTTTTTCTTTTTCAGGAACGTATTCCACCCTGGGGCCTGCCAATCCGCTTGCCACAGCCTGGGCATACGATTTTTCGGAGTTCTTTACCGCAAGGTAAGCCGATTTCCATTTTTCAGCCTCCAAATGCTGTTCATATAAATATTTTTCTAATTCTCTCCATCTCATCATAACATATTTAATCGTCATTCTATTCACTTTATTATTTTCATTAAATAAGTATTCCTCCAATTGTTTCCTTTCTTTTTGTATCTTGTTTATCCCCTCAATTGTTGATACTCCATTCTTCTCGTCCTCTCTCTTCTTTTCCTCTTCATTTATTTCAAATCTATCATCCATAGTAATTATCCTTTCCCTCCCTTTTGTTTTTCCTGCCGTCTTTGTCCTCTCTGAAGATGTTTCCTCAGTATCACTAGTAGATAGGGACATTTTTTTTTTTTTTTTTTATTTAATATCTCAATTTTATTGCAGCTCGAGCTTTCGCTTATTGCCGCTTGTATTCTAATATTTTTTGTGTCTTATCATCTTATATTATTATTTTTTCAGGTTAGATATAGACGACATATTTATATGTTTATACGTTCGGGTCAACTTAGCCGTCGGATTGGGCATGTTCCATTCCGCCGTTGCCCGTCCCTAGCCCCGTGGAGGCGGACCCGATTCCCAGCGAATCCAGGTGAGTTTTCCTTACTTTAAATGCGTTATTTGCAAATTCCATGAATTTTAGAAAATTTTCTTTATTGCCTATTAAGTTTGTTAGATTGTCTGTATTTAAGTCTTTGCATACCTCTATTTGTAGATATCTGTTTTTCATATTGCTTGCACTTGAAAATAATATGCCGCATCGTTTCATTTGCACCGCAATAGTCGCAGTTTGGTTTTTGTGTTGCTCCTCTGTCAAATAATGTGTAATTTATTGAACCGTATCCAATGATAAGGTAAGTGCAATACCTGTTGGGTGTGAACCAATCATTTTTCAATCTGAAATCGACTTTTTTTACAAATAAGTATGTTGTTCTACCATGCGCATCCATGTCCCACCTTTTCTGCCTCTGCTTTCACCTCAGTGTTAATTAAATTGATTTCGTCTTTAATATTTATTTCTTTGAGATTTTCTTTTGTGTCATATGTGTAGTTGTTCCACTTTGTCCGGATATTACGTTTTACTGTGTTGATTAGTCCACGTTGTACAATTTCTAGATCTAAGGGCATCATGCCACTAATCGTTTGGATTGCACTGGTAGAAGTTGTTCTGCATGCCTTAGTTATTATAAGTAAGCATGTTCTTTGCGCTGCAGTTATGTGTTTCTTGACTGTACTGTGTGTAATTTTATCGAACCATAGGGCTGCTCCATACGTGGTAATAGGAATTACAACTGCTTTATATAGTATTCTTAAGACCCCATTCATCCTTCGCGATTCTTCTGATCATCATTATGAATATACCTAGCTTTTCTCTTAAATATTTTGCATGCATTGTAAAATTAAAGCAATTATCAATCAATATACCCAAGTACTTTACCTCCGTAGAAAATTTTATATTTTTATCTCTCATTTTTATTCTAGGCATTCTTTCTGCGTCCAGTTTGCCTTTCATTAGCATGGCCGTGGTTTTAGACATCGAAGCTTTTAACTTATGTTTTATACACCATGTTTCCAGTATTTTAATCGTAGCATTACCTATTCTTTCTATTTCGACTCTAGAGTTACCTCTAAATGTAATGACAAGATCGTCTGCATAAGCGATAGCTTCGGCCTCGTCTCTAATCATAGTTTTTTTTTAAATTATTTAGAAGCTCGTCCATACAGATATTCCACATTGTGGGCCCAACTATTGATCCCTGGGGGCAGCCTTTTTGCATAAATCTACTGATTGTGTTGAACTTAGACTTGCAGACTACTTTTCTTCTATTAAAATAGCTATCAATGATTTTGATTATAGTGCTACTGCATTCCGCTTCAATCAATCTGCTTTTTATGGCTGGCCACTACAGGTGTCAAAGGCGCCCTCGATGTCAATAAACAGCGCAACGACGTATTTTTTGTTTGTCGCCAGGCTGCTTCTAAAACCCAAAAGTGCATCTTCGGTTGATTTTTTGGGCTTAAAACCATATTGTCTGGTGTTAGCAAGGCCCATTTCTTCGTATGTAGCTGTAATTCTATTACAATTCTTTCAAATATTTTTCCCAAGGATGGCAGCAGAGCAATAGGTCTATATGAATTAATTTTGTCTTTATCCTTGCCATTTTTGAGGATTATTCTTAACGTCGCTATCTTCTAGTCCTTTGGAAAAATTTGATCTCTTAAACATTTATTATAAAGGATGTGCAGAATTGCTTTGTTTTTGTTCCATAGTTCCATTATTACCTCGTTACTGAAGCCATCTATGCCAGGGGCTTTATTCTTTTTTAATCTCTTAATTGCTGTTGTAATTTCGTGTTATGTCCGGTTCGATGTTACTGTTAAAGTATCTGTTGTTATGCTGTTTTATTTTTCGATGTGACTCATTTTCTAACTTATTGTCGTCTACAGGAACACATTTTTCGAGCAATGCGTTCATAGTTTCGGACCAATTGTTTGTTCGCTGACCGTTTGGTAGAGTAAGTGACCCAATACCTTTATTTTTCTTTATTTTATCACTTACAATTTTATAAACGATGCTCCAAGGATCTTCGTTCCCTACAGTAGTAACAAAGTTCTGCCACGCTTCAGTTTTTTGCTTATTTATTTGTTTGACATATTCATTTCTAAATTTTTTATACTCACTCACATAATCATCTGCATCTATTAGTTTTAGTTTTTTAGCTCTTAGCGCCTGTTTCTTTGCTCTATTAGTTTTTTTTCTTAATATAGTGAGCTCATTAGTCCACCAGGGAACCGCGTTGCTGGTTAATCTTTTTCTTGGGATGGAACCGTTGCATATCTTTTTTAATCTATTATTAAATAATTGTATTGCTTCGTTGATGTTGCTATTTTTAATTTTATTTGTTGTCTCATCGTTAAAATAAATTTCCGTTAACGTTTTAAACTTATCCCAGTTAGCCTTTTTTAGATTATATCCGTCCTGTGTTGTCCACCTAGTTTTAGCTCTAACTGTCTCTTGTAAGTCTATAATTATCAGATTATGGTCGCTGGTAGTAATTATATCATCAACCTTCCAGTTTTTGATCATATTGGCGGCTCTTACGTTCGCCAGAGTTATGTCTATATTGGACTCACCTTTGGTGGTAGTAAATGTAGGTATGTTACTTGTTTCGTTTAATATCCGTAGGTCGTACTCCAAGATAAACTCCTCAATTTTCTTGCCTCTATTATTCTCAACATCTGAGAACCACAAACTAGATTTGGCATTTGAATCCATCATTATTAGAACTTTGTATTCCGCTACTTTTTATGATTCTTTCAATATCGCAAAGGATGGGGTCAATTTGCAGAGAGAATTGGCAGTATGCGTTAACAACATAAAACTGATCATCAGCGGTGCACACTTGGAAACACATGACATGCTCAGAATCTAGATTGGAATTATGGAAAATTTCCACATCTTTGTCTTGCATTACCGCAGCCACCCATACATTTTTTTTATTGGGTTGAATTATATTTAATCCTTGAGTGGTGTAGTCCCTTACTAATCCTTTGTATGTATAGGGTTCCTGTATACATAGTATATCAATGTTATACTCCTTAATGATTAGTTCCAAGTTTGTGGCTGCGGCTCTCGATCTTTGTGCATTGATCTGAGCTACTCTTAGTCCCATTTTATTTTG